TATAACTCCCATGATCCCTAGCTAACAGGACCAATGGTCAGGGATGATGGGAACTGTAGTCCAAAGCTTCTGGAGGACCAAAGCTTGGGGATGTCTGCTCTGTAATGCTTAACAGATACAAATATCACTCACTGACAGCCACTCCCTCAACAAAAGGCTGTGGGGCCAGTGGGGGTCTAGCATGTTTCATCTTCACAAAGTTGAATGCAACTACAACAGCCATGATTCCATGCAATCCGTTTGCAACTGCTGTCTTGGTTAAAGTTTTGAAAATATGTTTAATGCTGATTAACATCTACATGCCACCTTGTAAAAAAAAAAAATCTACTGTAAATACTACCCAGACAGAACTAGAGTTACCCGAATCCCTGGAACCCCTATATCCTACTGCAGTGTTTATCACTGCAGGGGATTTTAATGCACATCTGGGAGCCAATAATGTAAATTTGGACAGCCATTATAATTAGAGTCTAGAACCAGATATTTACTTAGTCAGAGGTACCTCCTGTCAGTCTAAAGATCAGAAATGTAATTATTCAGGGCTTTGTTTAGCCCAAGTTGTAAGGCGGGAGGGGCTTGCTAATATTAAACGGGATGACAGAGGGCGATCAGCCCAGGGAATATACCCACTTTACAAAGCATGGAGGCAGTGTGAAAGATTATATTGCCATCTTGCGATTTGCATATAAGTTTGCTAGGGAGTTTGAGGTGGGCCATAATATTGAAAACGATCATCTTCCTCTAACAATGGTACTAGTAGGCCCAGTATTTAACAATTCTTCCCCAAAAACTCAATTTATCTCTAATGCAAACTTCGGTGTGACTGCAGGCAATAGAATTAAGTGGATGCCAGTACTCAGTCTAGCACTGACTCACCTTCTTCATGCAGATGATTTAAGGACTATTCATACTGCTATCATCTCAGCTACCTTTGCTGCTGAGGTTATGAATTTATTTAAGATCTTGACTGACAGGTTGCAAGACCACTTGAGAACTGAGATCAAGAACAGTGGCTCAGTAAGATCAATGGGATCTTCCAATTGGTTCAACAAAGAGTGCAAGCAAGTTAAAAGCCAGCTGAAGAGAGTTTACTGTAAATATATGAACTCTAATTTACCCCTCTTCATTAATGAATATGTTTCCCTCAGACAGAAGTATAAACTTCTGCTAAGATGTCGGGGGGGGGGGCAGAAAGCAGAAAAGCATGCTTGGCCTGTCTCAATAAAGGCCTCTCATCTGCCTCTTCTGGCGTACAATATCAGGCCTGCTGGAGAAGGCTTGTAATGTTCCAGTGTGTCCTATTGGACCCAATGAATGGATGCAATATTATCATTCACTCCATCATGGGCAGGGTTGTTTCCTGAAGTTTGGACCACAGCGGTAGTCATCCCTTTCTTCAAAAGGGGCCTTGCATCCAATCCGGTTAGTGATAGACCAATTAGTTTGCTACCTGTAATTAGCAAATTATATGCAAAGCATCCTTACAAGAAGTCAGTTGATTGGATAACTGATGAAGCTATTCTTGCCGAAGAGTAAGCAGGATTTAGACAAGGCAGATCCACTGTAGACCATTGCTTTGTACTAGCCCATTTTATAGATAAGTATGTTAAGAAACCAGGTGGTGTGCTATATGCATATTGATCTGAAAGCTGCATTCAATTCAATCTCTTGAGTAAAACTGTGGGATAAGTTGAACTCTTCAAGTGTAGTTAAAAGATTGTTGTTCTTGATTAAATGTCTATATAAAAACACTGTGCTGAAAGTGCATTGCTCTACAAATGGGCAGTTCACAGGATCTGTTCCAGCCACAAAGGGAGTTAAGCAAGGTTGTATCCTAGCTCCCACAGTGTTTAATTTATATATAAATGATATTGTCCAGAGTTTAACATCTCCAAAGTATCATACTCCTAAATTGGCCACAAAAACCACCATCTCTATATTATTATACGCAGATGATGCGGTACTTCTATCTCAAATAAAAGTGGCCTAAAAATATTGATGAGGGCATTTGCAGGATACCGCCAAAGGGAACAGCTGGCAGTGAATTACAAGGAAACTAAAGCCATTGTGTTTTCAAGAAACTATAGGGCCCATAGATGGTATATCAGTTGAATCAGTTGATGAAACAAGTTAAAGTCTTTAAATACCATGGCCTTATTTTCTAGTCAACAGGGTCATGAGGATCACATCAGAAATATGCAAAGCAAAAAGCTTCACAAAGTGCCAAAATTCTGACACTTTTTCCATACAAAAGGTAGCAATCACATACCATCAGTCCTTGAAGTGTTTAAAGCTAATCCCCTAGCACATGTGGGACTCAGATTTGGACCTTGAATCTACTGAAGCTGTTCAATCTAAGTTCCTATGGCAATTTTTTTCTGTTCCATCCTGTGTTCCAAATGCTTCCTTGAGCTTAGAGGCTAAACTCCCCTCTGTTGAATTACAGATTTGGCGTAGGATATTTAATTATTGGCTTTGGCTAAATTTAAACCCCACCAATCTCAGGCTTGCTAGAGAGGTTAAAAGCAACAAAAAAGGCTTTTATGGGTATGTTCGTAGCAAAAGGAAGAACAAAGAAACCGTGGGGTCACTCAGAGGAGAAGATGGTGAAATGCAAACAGGGGACACAGAAAGGGCTGAACTCCTCAATGCCTTCTTTGCCTCAGTCTTCTCCGATAAAGAAAACAATGCCCGACCTGAAGAATTTGGAGCAAATGATTCAGCAGAGGAAACACAGCCCAGAATAACTAAGGAGATAGTACAAGAATACTTGGCTAGTCTAGATGTATTCAAGTCTCCAGGGCCAGATGAACTGCATCCAAGAGTATTAAAAGAACTGGCAGATGTGATTTCAGAACCACTGGCAGTCATCTTTGAGAATTCCTGGAGAACAGGCGAAGTCCCGGCAGACTGGAGGAGGGCAAATGTTGTCCCTATTTTCAAAAAGGGGAAAAGAGAGGACCCAAATAATTACCGCCCAGTCAGTCTGACATCAATACCAGGGAAGATTCTGGAGCAGATCATTAAGCAAACAGTCTGTGAGCACCTAGAAAGGAATGCTGTGATCACCAATAGTCAGCATGGATTTCTGAAAAATAAGTCATGTCAGACTAACCTGATCTCGTTTTTTGACAGAATTACAAGCCTGGTAGATGAAGGGAGCGCAGTGGATGTAGTCTACCTTGATTTCAGCAAGGCATTTGACAAGGTGCCCCATGATATTCTTGTAAAGAAGCTGGTAAAATGCGGTCTTGACTATGCTACCACTCAGTGGATTTGTAACTGGCTGACTGACCGAACCCAAAGGGTGCTCATCAATGGTTCCTCTTCATCCTGGAGAAGAGTGACTAGTGGGGTGCCACAGGGTTCTGTCTTGGGCCCGGTCTTATTCAACATCTTTATCAATGACTTGGATGATGGACTCAAGGGCATCCTGATCAAATTTGCAGATGACACCAAACTGGGAGGGGTGGCTAACACCCCAGAGGACAGGATCACACTTCAAAACGACCTTGACAGATTAGAGAACTGGGCCAAAACAAACAAGATGAATTTTAACAGGGAGAAATGTAAAGTATTGCACTTGGGCAAAAAAAATGAGAGGCACAAATACAAGATGGGTGACACCTGGCTTGAGAGCAGTACATGTGAAAAGGATCTAGGAGTCTTGGTTGACCACAAACTTGACATGAGCCAACAGTGTGACGCGGCAGCTAAAAAAGCCAATGCAATTCTGGGCCTCATCAATAGGAGTATAGCATCTAGATCAAGGGAAGTAATAGTGCCACTGTATTCTGCTCTGGTCAGACCTCACCTGGAGTACTGTGTCCAGTTCTGGGCACCACAGTTCAAGAAGGACACTGACAAACTGGAACGTGTCCAGAGGAGGGCAACCAAAATGGTCAAAGGCCTGGAAATGATGTCTTATGAGGAACGGCTAAGGGAGCTGGGCATGTTTAGCCTGGAGAAGAGGAGGTTAAGGGGTGATATGATAGCCATGTTCAAATATATAAAAGGATGTCACATAGAGGAGGGAGAAAGGTTGTTTTCTGCTGCTCCAGAGAAGCGGACACGGAGCAATGGATCCAAACTACAAGAAAGAAGATTCCACCTAAACATTAGGAAGAACTTCCTGACAGTAAGAGCTGTTCGACAGTGGAATTTGCTGCCAAGGAGTGTGGTGGAGTCTCCTTTTTTGGAGGTCTTTAAGCAGAGGCTTGACAAGCATATGTCAGGAGTGCTCTGATGGTGTTTCCTGCTTGGCAGGGGGTTGGACTCGATGGCCCTTGTGGTCTCTTCCAACTCTATGATTCTATGATCTATGATTCTATGATTCTATTACCCTTATTATCATAAGATTGTCATGAGAGCGCTTGGACTAAAATTGTCAACCAAAAGCTTTACTTTCTGGTTTATCACCACAACAGTTATAAACACTGAGCTTCAGTAAAGCAATTTAATTAGGCAGTGCCTATATGATGTCTGGTGACAGAATAATCTGGCCACAATAAGGAAATTTTGTGCATGGTATGATTATTTTCCACCTAGTCATTTTGACACTTTGGCACCCTACTTGCAAAATTTAACAATTTCAAAATACAGACGCGCTTTCACTTTTGCAAGATTGAATATGCTGCCCTCAGCTGTATTTGAGGGTCGATTTCAAAAAAATCCACTGGAAAAACAGTTAAGTCCCTGTGGAGATGGCAGTACTGAATCAGGAGTTCATGTGCTTCTGGCTTGCACTCTACACAGAGTGTGTAGAGGTTAATAGCACCTAACTTGTTCCAATGAAATGTATCATTACAAATTTTAGCTAGTTTAGAGAGTAGGAATAGTTAAGTTTCTTTTTATATTATTATTATTATTACATAGTAGATCATGCAAAAGCCCACCCTGGACTCTCACCTGGACTGTGTTTCTGTCTTCTGCTCACGTCCCATGACATTGTATTTAATAATGTACGCTTCCCCTCCCCCCCCCTCTATCTTTTTTTATAGGAGCAAATGCATCTGCTCCAGATCAGCTGAGCCTAGCATTAGCCTGGAACAGAGTAGACATCGCTCGCAGCCAGATTTTTATTTATGGGCAACAGTGGCCGGTACAGTATATATACACCTCTAATATCATAATTTTCAGTTTAATATGGGCAGGGGGAATCATTTTTAAAAGGGATTTTCTTCTTAAAGGAAATGTTGCCATCTAGTGGCTTCTGTAGTCTTTAGCATGACAGGTAAGGAATTTATTTGTTCCAAAATGTGCAGTTGGGCAGTACCTTTATTAGGACCATCTAAAATGTCACAAAATGTCAAGTAAGAACTCTTTGACAGGCTGGATGTTACCCAGAGTAAGAAGTAGGTGGAAACAGCAAAAGCAAGCAACAAAAAACTAAATGTTGACTAGAAGTTGTAGCCAGAATGTCTGTATACCTGAAGGAGCATCTCCTCCCCCATCGTTCAGCCCGGACACTGAGGTCCAGCTCAGAGGGCCTTCTGGCAGTTCCCTCACTGCGAGAAGCCAAGCTACAGGGAACCAGGCAGAGGGCCTTCTCGGTAGCAGCACCTGCCGTGTGGAACGCCCTCCCATCAGATGTCAATAAAATTAACAACTGTCTGACTTTTACAAGACATCTGAAGGCAGCCTTGTTTAGGGAAGTTTTTAATGTGTGGTGTTTTATTCTGTTTTTAATATTCTGTTGTGAGCTGCCCAGAGTGGCTGGGGAAGCCCTGCTGGATGGGCGGGGTATAAATAATAAATTATTCATTCATTCATTCATTCATTCATTCCATAAGCAGTAGCAGTGGGCAGGAAGGCATCCCTCACCTGAATTCACATCATCACTGCTGTTTTCCAGGTCAGGGTGGTGCAAAGACACAGGCAGAGCTGTCTCGATGCATGTGCATTGTGCCAAGCTCTCCTCTGCCTCCCCCCCCCCACCTCAGAGTAAGCTGCAGCAACCCAGACTACAGGTGTGCAAGTGCTCACAACAGGTGAGCGCAACGGCTCCTCGGACTACCGGCCATCAGTCTCAGGATGGAGATTGCGGATGGGTTGGGATTGTTTCTGCAAGGTGCTGTCGGTCTCAGATCACACCTAAGATTCGGAGACAAAGAAGCAGTAATTGACCTCCATTTTTGGAAACAAAAAGCCCAGATCTGTCTCCAAACCCTTCTGGCTAGGCAGACAGCCAAAGAAAAGAGAAACATGGCAGCCTTTAGATTAGCAAAGTTGGAAATGAATATTGAGTCTGCCAAGTGCCTTTTTACTCCTGCTCTCTGCCTAATTGTGAACCTTTGGGCAGGATGCAACTCACTTGTTGTGTGGACAAATTGAGGTCCCCTCGGGCAGTGGGTATTTCTCCCCCTTCTCTCCCATGCCCACAACCCGTCCATGCCCTAAATCTGCTCTGGAGGTTTGGAGTAAACCGCAGAAGAGGGATGGGAGGCGCAGGAGAGAAGAGAGGGGGAAGTCTCCTGGTGTGAGGGGGAACTCCTTCCCCACTCAGCACAAATTGAAATCTACCCTGTGTGTTTTGCTTAAGGCTACAGATCATTCCATCATCATCATCTTCATCATTAGTAAGCTTGCTTGTTTTTGTTACGTATTCATATAAATCACATTGTTTTGTCTTTCATCCATTTTTTTAAAATTCATATTATTATTCCCATTCATCTTCTTTCTTTGTGGCAGCTGTAATTTTATTTTCTCAAAGTGTCCCAGGATTGTGTTGAAAAGTCATTACATAAACATGGAATGTTTTGCTGGAATCTGCCTTTAAGATGCCAGAAGAGGTGTGAAACTGACCATATTTCCTCTCTGTACCAAAGCTGGGCATTCGCCTTGATGTCTATATCAAACTGACCATGAAGACAGTCTGACTGGCTTATTTCCTTTTTTAGGTGGGATCCCTTGAGCAAGCCATGTTGGATGCCCTCGTATTGGACAGAGTAGATTTTGTAAAATTGCTCATAGAGAATGGAGTAAGCATGCACCGTTTTCTCACCATCTCCAGACTAGAGGAATTGTACAATACGGTAGGGCCAAACTAAACCAAATTTTCTGTCTGTCTGTTGGTTTTGCTTGTTTGCTTCAACTTCCACAACCTGGTGTACAGAACCTCCATCCATGGGGCTACTTTGGCCCACCAGACTCTTTTCCCCAAGCCACATCAATCAGATTTTTCCAAACTGAAGGTGTTTATTTCCAATTCCAAGTTTATTGTTGGCACCGAATAGTAATGTGGGTTCATTTACTTCTTTTCATTTTGTTTGATGACAGGTAGCTAAAAATAATCATTTCATGCAGTGCTTTGGGGATATCTGTATGCAGAAAGCATCCCTCCTCCCTTTGACAAATCTTCATTTTGATCGTGACATTTGTGTTCAGAACAGTATTTATATTAATCCAGAATAAAGGTGGTATAATGTAATGGCAGATAAGCCTATGAACTTGTACCTCTCTCTGATGAATACCTACAGTGCATATATAAGTGCCATCTGGCCAGTACATTTGCCCATTCAAGGGTCAGATATTTGTAAAAGATGAACACTATAAAAATTGTCATGCTGTTGATGGTTTAGGAAACCATACCAAACATCTGTGCCATCTGTATTTTGTTTCAAATTACTTCTTTATGATGGGTTAAAGTATTTGGTCCTCTGTTGTCCTTCATTTTCAGAGACATGGACCATCCAACACTTTGTATCATCTTGTCAGAGATGTCAAAAAGGTAAGAGTCCAACGGGTGGACAGTAGCTTGAAGGTAATGCTGTGGCTGCTTCTATCTTGTCCTTAGAGACAGCCCCTGTTTTGCATGAGCTTTCAGTAAGAGCCTTCTCCTGTCTTCTGCCGTTTCAGTTGTGCAGTGTGTGTCTGTACTGATTCTCAGCCTTCTGTGTACAATGCAGTTAACTGGGCTGCTCTTTCAGTGACTTTAGATGCTTTGAGATAGTGCTTTCGCTAGCGGAATTGCAGGTGTTTTTCATGCCATGTGGATTTATGCTGTTAGCTGTATTTTTTATATCCACCACTATTTTGGATGCTGATTTTCCATCTTGCGGGCCAGTGCTGGACATTGCAAAGTATATAATTTTTGTTCTGGATCTTGAATCACTGCAACATTTTCAATTTCATTATGTGCTATGTGCTATAAAATCTCTCATCTCCATTTTAAAAAATGAATAGTGCAGTTTTAACCCAGTATCCGTACTTGAGCTTGTGGCAGACTAGTGGCTTAAAAATATCCACTTTATAAAAACTATTAAGCAGGGAGCATTGTATCAAAAATTGGGTAGATAAAAGTTTCTCTGTGTGATACAATGATACAAAGAATGAAATGAAAACTGGCACCTATTTCTCTTCTCTAAAGATGGCATAAATTGATGGCAATCTATGATGGTGTGCAGTAGTGGGAGGGCAATGACTTTGCATAAAAAATTGTAACAGTAGTGGGGTATCTAGTACCTAGATGCTTCCAACACTCCTGGCCAGACTCCTTTATAGCAGGCACCCAGCTCTGGACATTTACACTTCTGCATCAGAAGCTACATCCGTGGGTTCAAGAGAGTGAGTGAAATATAGATTCAAAATGTGCTGCGTTTTAGCAGTAACAGTTAAGTGATTCCCTAGAAAGCAGAGAAATAAAAGGAATTTGGGAACAAAAGAGTTTCAGAAGTTTGAAAAAAATGCCTGGAGATGTTTGAAGATGGTGTGAATGGGTTCTGCTCCATTGATAATTGCCTTTACACTGTCATTTATGAAGTAATTGAAATTAAGGAGCCTTGGAATATCATTTGAAAAATTCTGAAATATCATTTACATCACTTCCGTTGTTCTCAAGCATAAATCCCTTGGATGTAGAGTAGTACCTGAATGGAAGCCAGAAATAATTATTTAAACTTTTCTGCTTCTCTGTTCTTTCTCTGTGAGTTGCAAGCAAATAGCACAGTATTTGTACTCAAGTGTGTGATCATTTTTATGCTGTTTACTTGTTTTGGAAGCCCCTTTATCCTGTGTCCCCAGCCCCTTTCAAGAACACTTTTGAAAATGCCAAGCCCCCTTTTCACAATAAATAATTCTAACTCCTGTATGTCCTTTTCCCTCCCAGAAATGTTTTCATAAACTAAAGGAGCTTTCAGAAATACATTATGCTAGGGGTTGGAAACTATTCTGAAACATAGTTTTTTAATGTCCAAGCAGCTGAGTAAACTGGAATTAGTGAACTAGCACTGCAGAAACCAAGAGCAATATCCCAGAAACAGCTTTAACAAGAAATCTTAGCACATTAGGAGTTGCCCTTTTTATTTTATGTAAATTGTAAGAAAGAAATGCGTTACAATATATTGGGTGACTTACAGCACTCCCACACATGAGCGATGACATTTGCTCCTCCTCAGTCAATCTATCAGAGAGCCTGACATCAATTTAAATGGAATGTCATTCTAGAAAATAGCCTTTTAATGGAAAGTAATATTATTTTGACAGTCAAATGGTTCACAGTGCATGACTGAGACAGATGACTCTTCTGAAGCAGCTGTTCTGATTCTGATGCATTTTAAAGCCTGGTAGCTAAACCATAATCTTTTGGGATCTAAGGTATAAAATTTAAATTGTGACGTGTTGAAGTATTATGTGTGCAAAGGCATTAATTCTCTGTGTCTGCCTGATTTCACTGTACATTAAGTTTAAATACTAAGTCTGATGAGTAATTTAAATGTGTTCATATTTGTGGCATTCTGCAGTATTTGCAAATTAAATAGCCAAATATGAGAAATGTAAGGCTGTAAGTGACAGTATGCAAGCTTCAAAAAGCTTGAGGATAGTTTAGGATTTCTGTGAAGCTCCTTATCACACTGTAGTAAGGAAAGGGAGACCAAGTGAGGCAGGGCTCCACATCAAACCAGTGCAATTCTTGGGTAGCATGTTGCCCTTTTGCAATAATTTTAATTTATTGCACAGCTTCACAATACCATCCTGAGAAGGCACAGCATTCAGACAACTAAATGAAAAAGATACTTCAGAGGATATTTCTGTGTGGGGAGGACAATGAAAGGCTACCTGTGCCAATGGTTGATACTTAAATAAAACCCACTAAGCTTCATGAGTGAGTGGTCCCAGACAGGCTTTGGATTCCAGCGGGATCTCTTGAATGCTGGATGATGTTTCAATTAGTTTGTGGGAAAGAAGAGCTGTTTACCCTTTAGACCCCCTCAGCGTCCTTAATAAAGGCAATTTCTCTCATATGGGAATATCAATAGCCTCTACTTATTAAGCTGGGAAAGGATTTGATCTAAAATGACTATACTTGCCACACTGATGTTTAATGATCACTCAAAGGAACAAAAGGGGAAAGAGTTGGGATTATGGTGGGTAAATAGTGCCCTCTAATGTTCGTATAATAAACATTTCCAGTTTCTTAGTTTTTCATGGACACAGTTTAGAAGGTGATGCTTGCTGCCAGCACTCTTATGTCTGTGAGTTCATACCCTCCAAGTGACCCGATTTCCCAGGGACAGTCCCAGAATTATAGAAGCCGTCCCAGCTTCTGATTTCATCCCCTCCATGTCTCAGAGAACAATTAAAAGTGGTGTGGGTGTAGGTGCAAAAATGGAGTCCTGTTTATCCTGAAAATAGAATCCCTGCACCAAATGAGGAAACAGTGAAGCTGGCATACAAAACCCTTCCAATAATTTTGAAGGGGAAAGTCCCCAATCCACTTTAATTTATTTAATTGCAATGCTTCAGCAGCCGGGCATTTCTTAGGAAACACGTGGAGTGTTTATTCCTTTATTGTAAATGGAAATTTACACTGCAAGGCTTTACATGTCTACTCAGAAGTAAGTCTCACTATATTCAATAGTGCTTACTCCCAAGAAACATTGTAAAGACTGGTCTCTTCAACCTTATAACTGTTGATGACTGTAATGGCAGTTGGTTCCACAGAGAAGGGCAAGGGATAGATGACCAAAATTAGCTTTAGCATGTATAACGGGGCATGAATCCAATATCTCTATTCAGACCAGGTCAGGTTTCTCCATAGTTTTTAGTTTGGTAATGAGTTGTAATTCAGCAACTTCTCTTTCTCTTGTGCTGTACACAATCCCTTCCCTCGCACCTATTTTCTTTACTGTGAGGCGGAGAGGTTGTAATTAGCTCAAGGTGGCTGATGTCAATGTGTCTGTGACATCTATGTGTGCAGGAGATCAAACGTGGGTGAAACTTCCTGATGTAGAATGTCCCTGTTTCCATCAGAGAAATGCTGGAGGATTTTTGGAGTTATGTATATATTAAAAGAATTTGTGTCTGTGGTGCTGGTGACAGTTTCTGGATTCGTATAATTTTACTCCTAAAAAGTTTATTTAGAAGATGTAAACTATTCCAGAGTAAATTGTTTCTAGATAAGAAAGACCAACAAAATAAAACAGTGTTGTAAAATTCTTTTTTAGTGTGCTTGTTTGTTTGTTTGAAAAATATTAATAAAGCTGAACAATCCTTCTTACAATCGCAGTCCAAATATGATCAAATCTACGCATGCCTGACAAGATCTCAGTATCATATGTCAAATGCCAGAAGGAAGAGACCTTTGTTGGTTGATCAAGCCTTGCATGCCCTCTAGTCTGAAAAGAAGTTAGGCTGAGGACTGATGTTCACTTAACATTTTGTATCTGTCTATGGGTAGCTGATTACAGTATCCATGGGGCAAGTAGCTAAGAAGAAAGCACAGAAGTAAAATTTGCTGAATAGCCCTTTGTGATAGTTGGAATCTAGAGCTTAGGCCCAGTACTAGGAGCTGGTCACCTTTTCCTGGTATCTGAATTGGAGGCGCCTGCTAGATTTTTTTCACACGTGCAACTCTCTTCATGCTTGCAAGAAACTTCTGGTATCTGCACCTGATACCAAATACGCATTGAGAACTGGGAATTGCCTTACTTCATCATGGAAATCCTAGACATTTACTGGAATGCCTGAGTGAAGAAAATAGTCCCAAAGTGGCATTTTGTGAAACACGTGCAGCGCTCTGCATTGATGCCACAGCACTGTCAAATTATTTACTGAAAAGGACAAATACTGCAGGGGACACAAACTATTTACATAGTTTACACAACTATTTACATAGTTCTAAACTTTGCAATGATAAAATAGAAACATTTACAGTTTGATATCAGGAGAGTTCAGAGTCAGTGGAGGAAGATCTCAGATGTAAATTCATTGTTGGCCAATAGAGTGAAATATTGCAGGCTAACCCATTTTTGGACAAGATTTTTGGACAAGGCGGTTGCCAAAGTACGCACACCTTCAGCAGGCGATGAACAGGCCATAGCTAGAGTCCAGCAAGTCCTCTAGTCAATGCTTTGCCCTCATGCGCTTTTTTTTTTGTTCTGCAGTGATGTTTCCTGTTTTCCTTCTCAGAAGAGCCTGAATCCTTTGTTCTGAAACTTATTATCTTCTGTTACTGCTATGTTTTAATGCAACTTCTTATTTAATTTATGTCTTCTTTCCAAGCGTGAATATCCAGGTTTCGGTTGGATCTATTTTAAGGTGAATTAATTAACCAGCATAATAATACATTCTTATGTTTTCTTAACATTTTATTTCATTTTTAAAAACCTCTCATAGTTACAGAGAAATCTGTGTGGTGAACATAATAACCAACTTTATCTCTCCTCCCCCCCCCTTTCCCCTTTGTGTTGTGTGTCTTTTTATGGAAAAAATAGGGAAATCTTCCTCCAGATTACAGGATCAGTCTGATTGACATTGGCCTGGTGATTGAGTACCTCATGGGAGGAGCTTACCGCTGCAATTATACTCGGAAACGCTTCCGAACCCTCTATCACAACTTATTTGGCCCCAAAAGAGTAAGGACTGTTATTATTGAGGGGTTTTGTGCTTGCTTCTTTCCTAAGGGGTTGCCGTGAGCGGTGAGTTACTCACGCCTGCTGAAAGGAAAGTGGGGAAGGGGCAGTGGTGGGGAAGCTTTTTCAGCCAAAGGGCCACCTTCTCTTCCAGAGCAACCTTCCAGGGCAGAAGGGCCAGAAGCAAAAGTGGGCAGGGAAGGAACATGAATGTCAGCTTTGCACAGGAAGCCAGTTTCTGCGCACTCACACACTCACACGTCTCTGTCCTCCTTCCCGGCAAGCAAGAAGCATGGTCAGAGTTCAGGTTCAGACCGAAACATTCATAGAATCATAGAGTTGGAAGAGACCACAAGGGCCATCGAGTCCAACCCCCTGCCAAGCAGGAAACACCATCAGAGCACTCCTGACATATGGTTGTCAAGCCTCTGCTTAAAGACCTCCAAAGAAGGAGACTCCACCACACTCCTTGGCAGCAAATTCCACTGTCGAACAGCTCTTACTGTCAGGAAGTTCTTCCTAATGTTTAGGTAGAATCTTCTTTCTTGTAGTTTGGATCCATTGCTCCGTGTCCGCTTCTCTGGAGCAGCAGAAAACAACCTTTCTCCCTCCTCTATATGACATCCTTTTATATATTTGAACATGGCTATCATATCACCCCTTAACCTCCTCTTCTCCAGGCTAAACATGCCCAGCTCCCTTAGCCGTTCCTCATAAGGCATCGTTTCCAGGCCTTTGACCATTTTGGTTGCCCTCCTCTGGACACGTTCCAGTTTGTCAGTGTCCTTCTTGAACTGTGGTGCCCAGAACTGGACACAGTACTCCAGGTGAGGTCTGACCAGAGCAGAATACAGTGACACTATTACTTCCCTTGATCTAGATGCTATACTCCTATTGATGCAGCCCAGAATTGCATTGGCTTTTTTAGCTGCCGCGTCACACTGTTGGCTCATGTCAAGTTTGTGGTCAACCAAGACTCCTAGATCCTTTTCACATGAACTGCTCTCAAGCCAGGTGTCCCCCATCTTGTATTTGTGCCTCTCATTTTTTTTGACCAAGTGCAATACTTTACATTTCTCCCTGTTAAGGGATACAAAGTACAGCTGGGAAGGGTTGTGACTCAGGAGGTTGTGTTGCCTGGGGAGAGACATTTGCTGTCCTGCCACACCCCTCGCTAGTGGCCTTGGAGGGCCACACTGGTTCCCTGGGCCTGAGGCTCCTCGTGCCTGACTTAGGGCATGGCTGGGGCTGGGGGCCTTTTTCCAACCACACTCCCATACAGGAAGTCCTCAGATCCTGGCAGCCACTTCCCCAGGACACACATTGTTTTCCAAACTGCTTTCAAAGCTGCCGGTGGCAGCCCAGCCAGCAGCGGGCATCAAAGTTAAGGGTGATTTCTTCATTTGCCATTCTTTACTCTGAGAATTTATTCTATTTACACAAATATTTGTAATTCACTTCCACTTTCCAAAAGAAGATGCTCAGAACAGCTAACGGGGGGGGGGGGGGCGTGTGTTCAGCATTTTAGAAATAGTGAGTTCTTCGCATGCATTGTAGAGGTCACCAGATCCTTGTGTAGAAGGCCATATTCTGAAAAAGATCCCACATGTAAGATAGATGATCTTTATTAAAATAGGTTCCAGTAAAGTTGTAGTCAAGTAATCAAATCAAATTCCCAAACATGCACGAGTAGCAAATGTTCTATGCTTCTGCAGTTAACAGAAATGATATTCTCTATTTAGCCATCGCTTGGTTTTTTGTGAAAGTTTTTCTGAAAATAACATAAATATGGACACACGGAAGGAGAGACTCTCCTATAGACCCCATGAAGCAGGAGAATTGATTATGTGCTCTTGGTGCAGTTCAACATAAACTACAACATCTAGATCTAGGGGCTTTCCTAATATATGTGGTGGAGTCTCCTTCTTTGGAGGTCTTTAAGCAGAGGCTTGACAACCATATGTCAGGAGTGCTCTGATGGTGTTTCCTGCTTGGCAGGGGGTTGGACTCGATGGCCCTTGTGGTCTATTCTATTCCAACTCTATGATTCTATATGGACTGGGGCTCCAAAATCAGAACTGAGCATGATTGATTGGTGAGTTAGAGGGGGGGCAGTGGTTCTGCAGTCTCTGTGCTTTGCAATGCAATCTTATTCCTGTCTACTCAGAAGTAAGCCCTGTTGGATTAAGTTGGACTTACTCTCAGGTATGTGTGTATAGGATTGCTACACACACACACACACACACACACCCCTCTATATATTTGAAACATTGTCATTTCTTCTTCTGCCTACAGCCCAAAGCCCTGAAACTGCTGGGAATGGAAGTAAGTGTCATTTAATTCATTTTGTTTTGTTTTTGTTTTTTTAAGAAAAGATGATGATAGTAATGGGAGGGCAGGGGTTGTAATTTTTTTTAAAGTATGAAGTCAGGGCTGAAGTGGTGATCCCACGAAGTGGCCTATGTTGGTTCAAGGCTCCCTTCTGGGCGCCGCCATTTTGGTTCTTAAGAGTTAGAAAAAATGGAGGTAAGAAATATGAGGGGCAAAGAAAGTTTAAAAATAAGAAAGAAAAATGTATTAAAAATGTTTTAAAAATATTTTTGAATTGTTTTGAAAAATTAAGGAAAAGGAACCAAAGAAGAAGAATAAAATCTAGATAAAATAAGAATAAAAGGACCCCCCCCAAAAAAAAAACCATCAAGGGATAAAGATTACAGTGGTGCCTCGCAAGACGAAATTAATTCGTTCCGCGAGTTTTGTCGTCTTGCGATTTTTTTCGTCTTGCGAAGCACGGTGTCAGGAAAGTTTTGGAAAAGCTTCAAAAATCACCAAAGTCTTCAAAAACCTCAAAAAAGGCTACTATGTACACTGCGTGCTATGAGTTGCTCCTCGAAGTCAAGTCGCAACTGTATTAACGGTGTTAAGAAAAAGGAAACAAACTTGCAAGACGTTTCCGTCTTGCGAAGCAAGCCCATAGGGAGAATCGTCTTGGCGAAGCAGCTCAAAAAACAAAAAACCCTTTCGTCTTGCGAGTTTTCCATCTTGCGAGGCATTCGTCTTGCGAGGTACCACTGTATAATTTTTTTAAACAATAAATAAATAAATGTCATAGTAAATGTTTTGGTGGGTCCCTGCCCACCACCTCCGCACCGGTCTCCAGACAGGTCGGGTGGGGGCCAGGTTTGAACTGGCTCACACACTTCCATGCAGCCTGCCTGGCTCTCCTCGTCCCTGCCTATCTCTCCTCATTTATGACAGCCACGGTGGCGATGGAGGAGGCTGGTGGGTGCTCGGTCGGGAGGCGGCTCCACTGCGCTATCCGCTGGACTTCCTCCAAGCCTCGCTGAGCCACCGCTGGGGCGATCCCTGTCCTGGTGCAGCTGAGGACATCTGGTGGGGGGGCTGGGAGCCTTGCACAGCCCCCCCCCCATTGCTGCGTCTGGTGCCCCCACTCTGGGTGGCTCCCAACAGAATATTAAAACAGAATAAACCATCAAACATTAAAAACTTCCCTAAACAGCGCTGCCTTCATATGTCTTCTAAAAGTCAGGTAGTTGTTTATTTCCTTGACATCTGATAGGGCGCCATTGACTGGTTGTGTTGTGTTAAAAACAAATGAACTCTGCACTTAAAGGCACAGATAGGTAGCTAATTTCTTGTTTGGCTCTAAATTGATGAGTTTTTATAAGGCTTTTCATAAAGAAAGGTGAATTAAGGCTAATTCTTAATTATAGGTTGGTGCATGTGACATTGGGGAGATTCTACTACCATTAATATGCTGGGATCTGCTACTAGAAATGACCAAAGCACAGTACAAGACCAGACTTGCCCAACACCCCTCCCGTGCTGCATTGGGGAGCACAGGTGCAGTTTGCGCTTCCGCCCCCATAGGCACATGGAAGCAACAACTGCGGGGCACTGCTGGAAAAAGCTCAGCAGCAAAAAACATCAGCTCTGTGACTGTACCCAAGGACAGCATGGGAATCAGTCTTTCCCACAACAGGATGAGATCGTTTTCTAATTTTAACAGGATGAATGTAATCCACATTCACATAATTCTAAAGCAAGATACTTCATAAAACACATAATATAGTTTACAATATTTGTGTTGGCTTAAGTTGGCCAGCAAGGCATTCAACAGGGATTTATTGTTTTTAATGCAGGGACTGGATAGATGTTAGCAATGCTATTTATTTCAACAAGTATTTCTTGAAGTACTAAAACTGTTGTTTTGTGGGCATCATTCTTAATTTTTGTTCAGATATATTAAAGGCTGGGTTATTTACATCTGTTTTGTGATGGAGGGCCCAAGGCAGTATGTATTATTATTGTGAGAAAGTGTGGATGTTTTGCCCTGTGTGAGAAAGTATCTAGAGTCACATAAACTAAAGAGAGCAAGTTTGTTAGTAACTTATGACTGTAGCAAAGGAACTAGTTTAATGTCTCCTAACAAACATTACATGGTTGAAACTGTTTTGGTCTGATGGCGTTTTCCTCCATTTAACAGGATGATGTCCCACTGCGGAGGGGAAGAAAAACAACCAAGAAGCGAGAGGAAGAAGTAGACATTGATCTTGATGACCCCGAGATTAACCATTTCCCTTTTCCCTTTCATGAGTTGATGGTGTGGGCTGTGCTAATGAAGCGTCAGAAGATGGCTCTCTTTTTCTGGCAACATGGAGAGGAAGCCATGGCTAAGGCTTTAGTGGCCTGTAAGCTGTGCAAAGCCATGGCCCACGAAGCATCCGAGAATGATATGGTGGATGACATATCACAGGAGTTAAATCATAACTCCAGGTGGAATAATTAATGAATTCATCTTGATTTGTTTCTACTGATACTACCTAAAAGCCTGTTACAATGACCCCACTTCTTTTTCACACTGATCTGATGATAGCCAGAGCAAACAAGATGACTTCCTGCACTTGTGTATAGTAGGTTTCCTGGGAGAAACCTATTTATTTGGAGGCCGTCATTGGCTTAGAAGGCAAGCAAGGAGCAGGAATATTGCTGGCTTGGAGGTAGAAAACAACCTTAACCTCCCCAGCTTTTCTGCTGCACCTGTAAAACAGGAGCCAGACATAGCCCCACACATGAATCGTAAGAACTTTGCCACAACTGTAGCTGGTTTTCAGGGAGCAAGCCTCCTTCTCTGGTGGCAAGTCCCAGTCACCCCTACAGTGACTAGTTGTAAGTGGGTTTGCTCTTGCATGAGAGCAGGAGCAGGGAATGTGAGCTAGCTTGGCTTCCAAGTAAGAGCTAGGATTCTGGGGAGCTGTGTCTGCATGCAGCTCACAAAGGCATATCCAGTGTGTTGGGGGGGGTATTACAGACTTTTCTTATCATCAGCATCAGCAACAGATATCCTGTGGCTCTTACTGGGGAGGGGACGCGGGTGGCGCTGTGGGTAAAAGCCTCAGCGCCTAGGGCTTGCCGATCGAAAGGTCGGCGGTTCGAATCCCCGCAGCGGGGTGCGCTCCCATCGTTCGGTCCCAGCGCCTGCCAACCTAGTAGTTCGAAAGCACCCCTGGGTGCAAGTAGATAAATAGGGACCGCTTACTAGCGGGAAGGTAAACGGCGTTCCGTGTGCTGCGCTGGCTCGCCAGATGCAGCTTTGTCACGCTGGCCATGTGACCCGGAAGTGTCTCCGGACAGCGCTGGCCCCCGGCCTCTTAAGTGAGATGGGCGCACAACCCTAGAGTCTGGCAAGACTGGCCTGTACGGGCAGGGGTACCTTTACCTTTACCTTACTGGGGAACTGGATTGTCAGAGTCCTGTAGTTGGGCAAGGAGGACCAGCAAGTGGGCTGGTGAACTCAGCATGCCCTGAGGTAGCAAGAGAGGATAGTGACTATAGAGCTGAAGGTTAATGTGAGCCAATCCTAAGTTAGTAAAGCATTATCATATTTGGGCCAGTTTACTGTTCACTGTACCTTTATTGTACCTTTCTATGTATTAATGTGCTGTTTACTGCTTTGGGGGGTCATTGGGCCAAGAAGTTGTGTGTGTGTAATTATAATATAATATAATATAATATAATATAATATAATATAGCATAACACTTCCCAGAAGTACCCAGGTATTTATTTCAGTGCCCTTATTGACCCAAGGAGTTTGATAGGTATGAGGGTGCCAAGGAGAAGACCTTTCCGTTGATCTTTGCTGTTGGAATGTGATATGTAGATAATACAGTAAATAAATTCCTCTGGATTGATTTATGTGGAGTGGTAATATTTCAGATATCTATAAAACCCCAGGACTTTTATGGTCAAAAATTGCACTTTGCATTTTACTGGGAAAGTTATAGAAAACTGGTGCAGATGCTGAATCCCAGATGCCATGCACCTGTGGTGACCCAGCCCTAAGTTCATGCTATTGTGCCATCAGACGGCTGCTCTGAGTAGCACATATTATGATAGTCTAAGGTTCTTAAGATGCAAATGGCAGCTGTTAAGTGGTCTTAAGATAAAAGCAGATGCAGCCTTCACACAATATATTATTGTGAACCTCCTGGCTAAGCTCTCTAACGCCATGGGATTTCAGAATTGGCTGTGAACCAGCCCAGACAAGGCCGGACGTGCTGAATGTTGCCTATTGTGAGCCTTCCTCAAACACATTGATACGCACAAAAGTAACAAGGCCTGTCAAGACAAGGAACAACTATCATCACCTTCATCTAGTACCATGAAATCCTCAGTCAGTTCATTGGTATCCAGTCCCCTGTTATGGCCAAACACTGCATAAATCCCAAGGGTGCTTCCAGATTGTCACTATATTCTGGTGGGATTAAATTACAAGCAGCAAATTCAGGCTGTGCAATTAAAGCTTTTTTGGAGCTCTAGCGCGTGCTTTACCCAAAAGATCCAACTTTTTGCAATAGGGAAAATGTAGTGGGAGGTGCAGGAGAAGACTTTGTTGGACACAACACTCTTCTAGCCTGCCCACTAACAAAGGAGGGTGAATGCTTATTGAACAATCAATGCCATCTAATTTCCCTGCAAACAAATTACAATGAATGCTCAATAAAAACAGGTTGCCTGGAAGTCCTCTAGCACTTCCCTTCAGACCTGGGTTGAATGAAAAAAGAGGATGCTTATATGTTTGAATTCCATACCTCTACTATTCACTTAGCACAGTTGGGGGGGGTGCACTATATTCCCTTAGTTAAGGATTCCCTAGGAAATGTGCTTTTCTCCAACAGGTAATAGGAAGTGGGATGGTTCAGATGTAAGCCCCCAAGGTGAAGAAAGGAAGCAAGTGGGAGCTTGGACCTCTTAGCAACAGTAAATTAAGGAGCTTCACTAGATGTCTAACCTTCAGCACCAATATGCCAAGTGCACCTGAGTATAGCATAGTCCTTTCAGCAGAAGTGTTCCCAGTTGTTTAACTTCCATGTAACAGATTGCACAAACTAACAAAAAGCGGCCTGTATTGCAGGGATTTTGGCCAGCTGGCAGTGGAGCTCCTGGACCAATCCTACAAGCAGGATGAGCAGCTGGCAATGAAACTTCTGACCTACGAGCTGAAGAACTGGAGCAATGCCACGTGCCTGCAACTCGCAGTGGCAGCCAAACATCGCGATTTCATTGCTCACACTTGTAGCCAAATGCTGCTCACAGACATGTGGATGGGCAGACTCCGGATGCGCAAAAATTCCAGCCTAAAGGTCAGGACTGTTTTAAAATCATATCATAACTTGAGGCTTAGGGGGAGGTCGTGCTGAATTAGCAGTAACAGCTTTGATCATGTAAAGCATTGATGGGGCCTCTGCAAATCTTTCCACTTTAAACTCTCAAGGGAGGTGTCGTAAGGCAAGGCTGAGCTACTCCCTTTAAGCTCTCTAGGACGCCAGGTCTTTTAGGAAGCATCTACGGCCAGCCTCTGCTCCCGCTATCCCTGGCTTTGCCCACACAATGGGTTTTCGCACCAGCCCCTGGCGAGTCATTTTGAAACCCACATGCATGAGTATCAGATTATTGGATGGCCCAGAGAGCACATGTAATTTGAAACTAAATAAGCAACTGGCATAACCATAACCTGTTAATTGTGATGATTATTGTTATCATTATTATTGCTTTAGGTAATTCTAGGAATTCTACTTCCTCCTTCAATTCTCAGCTTGGAGTTCAAGAACAAAGATGACATGCCTTACATGTCTCAGGCTCAAGAGATCCAACTTCAAGAAAAAGAGCCAGAGGAACCAGAAAAACCAGTGAAAGAAAAAGAAGAGGAGGACATGGAACTCACAGTAAGGGAACACATTGCTGGAAGTGGTTCACGCAGCCATTACCCCCCCCCTTACCATTTCCACTTCGGTATGTGTTAGGGGAGGGGTCACCAACCTTTTAGGGTCCTTGGGCACAATTGGAGGCCGTAGAAACACATAGTGCCCCACAACTGTTCCATTGGCCACAACAGATCACCTTTTTCCAAGCTTAACTTCAGCAGAGGAGCAGCCCCTGTGACTGCCATGTTGGTGAACCCTCTATTAAGGAGTGCCATGTTTTTAGGGAGCCCAATCCACCCAGAACCTCTCCCGAGATGCCCTGTTGAAAGTAACCGTGGCTGAGTATAAGCCGTGTCGTATAGTTTGTGGCCAGGAAGAGTTCCTAGAGTCAAATGAGGTAACGAATTACAGAAGTTCCATTTTGCTTCTGGGAAACAATCCATTGTGATGCAGCTGGCTACCATTGGTTGTGCCTTGACTTCAATAGTGGAGGCGCACCCGACTATGGCTGATCATGCTTTTTGTAAAGGACACCGTTATACAGACATCCTACTTACAAGGATTATGGAAGGTACAGACTATCAGTAGCGGAGGACTCTTCCCAAATACAATAATTATTTACTATTATTGCTGCAAAGCAATGATTTACACACAAAAAAGATGTGACAGCAATATTTTAGATGTGGTGTGTCATTTTGTTATTCTCAAGTTTAAATCTAAATACAATTGTTAATGAAAAACTGTATTTGTAAGCAACTGTATGTTAAAGCTGCTTCCTGTTGCAAGGTAACAAAAGTCTTTATCTCCAGCTGTTGCTCTTATACTTAGCAAATGCACCGTTCCTAACATTTTTTGCATTTCTTGTCCACTCCATCTCAAGGACTGAGATACAAGCTAAAAACCACAGCTCCAATTAAATTACGCTTAAGTGATCATATCCTTGACCAATACTCATTTTACTCTTGCCACCAAAAAACCAAAAACCAGCTGAGATGTTAGGGCAACTCCAGCCTCTTGGGGGAAAGTTGGGGCTCAGGATCACATAAGCCTCTATAAAGTTTTGTCAAATAAAGTGAGCTGTCAAGGATGATTAAGTTGCTGTTAAGAATTGGAGACAAAAACAGGAACATAATAGTTTCACTTGGTGATAGGTCCACATTTAGCATTATAGAGACGAGGTGTTCACAAATATTGACATATATTTAGTGATCATTAAACAATCTGGAATATCTTTCTATGAGTTTTTCACAAATAGGTTAAGGAACCATTCAGTTGAGAAGCTTTAGGATTTCCTGTTTTTAGTTGGAAGCTGGAATGCAGGACCCTTTTGAGGATCATCTTTGTGAATATATGGAAATTAGGGGGTTCTTCCAGCTGCTTCTGTTGCCTGACAATCCACTTACAATATTATGGGACAGCTTATTGAGTAGATTGTAAATTGGTCTTTAATGGTCTTATTCTATTATCTTTAGTAGGTGCCTTTTGCATAGTTTTATTTTATTTTATTTTCCCTCCTCTAATGTTTATTTGCTTTTCTTAAACATTTTAGAAGCACACATTATATAACAGCTGCTTATGATGGCAAACATTTAGTGAGAAGTCCCTTTGAAGTCAACACTGACTAAATATTCATGTGTGACTTTGGTAATCTAATTTTAAATGAATTTATTGTATGTACAAGAAAGAATCAAACCAGTTAAACCACTAAAACGCCTCCTGGGCTTCTGCTGGCATAAGACATCACAAGCATTTTTTATTTTATCATAGCTACTTACTGGTCTCTCGGTGCCCATATTCATTTTTTTAAGGTTTACTTCATTAAATTTTGTTAAAAATCAGGCTGTTTCCTACAGGCCATCAGCAAGAGCTGTCCCCAAGATCTTATCTGCGGGCAAGCAGAAGGCTCTGCCTACAAGACCCAAAATTCAGGGAAGCAGAAGACGCTAGGCACAAGATCAGCCTACAGGACCCCTATGCAGGCAAGATCCTGGAAAAAGAGGGAAAGATCAGAAGCCAGTTTAAGATTGACAGGTTGTTTTCCTCCAAAATGAACTGGTTCTGCTTTAATTGTAGTTAATTACTGCTGGCTTCTGATCAATGAGTGAAGTGCTTATTCAAATCCAATAAGCAGAGCTACAATGTAGTGAATTACAATTACCCTCTCTTTTGATGCCCTGTTCCCATTCCTTTTTTCCAACACTATATTTTCCTCTAGTAGCAGCACAGGGCGCTGTAATGTCTTGTCTTGTCTCTGTGTGTTTCTTTAGAGAAATAGCATGGTTTTCCATGTTCCCTCCTCTCCACCATCTGACCTTGGTCTTTGCCTTCAGCCTGGGTTCTTTTCCCTCTACCTTCTAACATTATTAGGGGTGTGTGTGTGTGTGTGTGTGTGTGTGTGTATACCCCCTGCATTTTTACCTGGCAGGGACTCAAGGCAGCTTACAGATAAAATAAGAACATCTAAAAACATAGGTGGGGGAAGGGAAAACAATCATTCAAACAATTAAACAACAATTTGTTTTTGTTTGTTACTATGTTATGCACTTTTGTGTTTTTATATTGTAAACTGCCCTGAGATCCTCAGATGCAGGGTGATACAGAAATTTAACAAATAACAGACACACACACGCGCACACACACGCACACACACACACACTGATTATTACAATAAAACAGCATGGCACACCCAGTACTTATATCTCTAAGGATTCTGTGGGCACTCAAATTCTTTGCAGTAAACAGCAGAGGGCTCAAGTGACCTCCAGGAGCCTTCAGTTCCAGAATGCATAATATTGGTTTTCTCTGATGTTGTGAATTTATTATTTCATTGTTCATGTGTTAAAATGAACAAAAGGTACACCAGACACCATATATTGTTAGCAGGAAAAGAGTGGAGGAAGAAATGAGTGCTGGGCAATTAGCCTGAAAGTCAGGCTGGCTGCAAAGGAAGCAGGAGATAATAAACTAAAAGGCAGGAGGTGGGCGCCGCAGGGAATTTTTCAGCGCAAGCAGACCCCTTGCCACGCTGCATGCAACTGCTCACGCCCAGGGATGGGATCATTATACCTGCCACAGTGACAGACAAGTCCCTATATATATAGCACAAGTTCATTTCCCCCCAAATATGTTACCAATCGGTGCCTGGTACATTATTGCATGACTCAGCCTGACTCGTGATAAATCAATTACGTTCAAAAAACAGAAAAAAACAGAAGCCACCTACGTATAGCAGCCTCCTAGCAAATTATCACCCCTTTCCATCCCTTCCATCCTCTCACAGAGAGAAGTATTTTTCTGCACGTTGCAAACCATTTGCTGTTTTAGCTTCTACCTACAGTGTTTGTGAATAGTAAGAATATTATGAACTAACAACCATGAAAAGAACATTCATGGTTCTTAGGTTGAACTCCTAGTCCAAACCCTGGCAGTTTCGTAAATATTTGCCATTTGTGAGTGTGGGTAGACATTTGTGCTCAGTGGCCTACAGTTACTTCAGAGCCATTATAGCATGAAATACTCCGATAAAGAAGGCGACTTCAGAAATAAAGCGGGAGCCTAGCAAAGGGCCAATGGAACAGACAGACATTTCAATCTGAACTTGGTTTGTTTTTTAGTTAACAGATTCCATTAATTTCCGATAATAAACAAAAGTTCCAGCAATTATAGCACTTCAAACATTATGTTCAACTCTGTTTCTTTCACAGCGGGTCTGAGAAGGAATACCACCAAGGGCAAAGAGCACCATCAGCACCCACCACCCAGTCAGTTTTGCACGATTGCTAAGTTGTACAGTTTGTGCAAGATTGCAAAAGCCAGGAGTTGAAGGGGAGGTGGAGGATTTAGGGGAGTGCGATCAGTTTGTGTCAAGTACAGGAGTTCCCTTCTCACTTCTGGTTGCTCTCAGATAAGAATTAACAAGCATTCAGTAGATTTATAGTCTTTTTATTACAGTATCATGTTGCAAGCACAGACACACAACTCTCTGCAAGCATAGCAGTTGCTCACTCTGACTCCTCCCCTCAACTTCTGCAGCAAGAAGCACGCCAGTGGGATGTCCCGTCCCCCCCCACATTTCCTTTGTTCTCCGACATGATCATACCTCCAAGTTTGGGGGGGAGGGAGGGGCTTCCCCTCCACTCTCGATTGATGTATCACCCAGCTGCTCCCTCCCTTCTGGTTGCTTAGTTACTATCTCAAAGCTGGGGAGCTCCTCTCTCAATTGTGCAGCCTCTGTGTTTGCCTGTCTGCCTGCTTCTGGGGACTCTGGAAGCAAGGGGAGCAAGTATTCCCCCTCCTCTTCTGTTAGGATCTGATCCTAGGATCTGCATCTCCCACTCTTCCGATCCAGACCAGCCCCTGACAGTTTGGTTGCACTGGGCACAGAGCCTCAGGGGCCTGCAGGGGACACCACAACTATTATTTAAAATGGAGTGCGACAGGTGCCAAATTTTGGCGTTGCACAGGGTGCTGCTGAAATGTGAGATGCCAAGATCCGCCACTGTTAGTGGAAGGGCTCAGGGGTGGAGTATCTGCTTTGTGTTCAGATGATCCCTGGTTCAATCCCTGACATTTCCAGATGCCTGAAATACTGGAGGAACGTTGCTGGTCAGGGTGGAGAAAACTGAGCTGGACAGCCTAGTGACTCCATAGAAGTCAGCTTTCTGGGTTTCCGGATTTCCATATTTTGTGTCACAAGTTCCCAGCCTTTCCAAGCAATGTTCATGATTAACTGTGTCATTGTCAGGGTCTGAAGGGGAAGGCTGGGAATCACCCCCTCCTCCTCCTTTGTTTCCCTCAGAGGAGGGGGAGAGGGAATCAGGTCCCCTTCTCCAGTGGTTTCAAGAGAAGAGGGAGACAGGATTGAACTGCAGCAGAACTCAGAGCTGCCAAGTTAGGAGGTGTTAGGATAAGGAGGGGGAGGGGGAGAATTGCCAGCAGAGATGTCCTTGGAAAGCGTAGGAGAGCCAGCGTCCTCAAAGACGTTTGACTCCTGAGGCCATCCGTGGGGTCACAGGCTGATGCTGGGGAAAGAAGGGGAGACGCTCAGAGTGAGCAGCGTCACTATGGAGTTTAGGACTAGATTCTTTGTCTTGCACCACAAGAACTGAATAAAACCATTAATGCAAACTTTCTTGCTTCTGCCTTGATCCTTGATGCTGCTGGCGGAGGATGGAATCCCCCAAGCCTGACAGTAATACATTTACTAGGTTGATATTCCAGGTATATGTTACTGGCGGCATTTGTTGGGGTGTGGGAGAAGGACCCCCAAACTATGTTTTGCCCTGGGCTTCAGATTCCGTCTCTGCCACCCTCTCTGTAGTCCCAAAGGAATGGACTTCCTCCATGGAAGCAGCTTGGCTTGGAATGCCCTCACTAAAGAGGCAGGCCTCTCTTCCGCTTTCCAGCACTTTTTCTGAAGCACACCAAAGCAAAACCCCCTGAAACGATTTATGTTGAAGTAATGCATCCCCTTGTTCTTTTCAGTTCTGTGCTTTTTAATAGTTCTGCTCATGGTGATTTCTTGGGAAAGGCTGGGTGCTGAAGTCACATGCCCACTCACCCACTTCTGCCGAATCAGCTTTATGGGCATTTTCTGTGACTTGGAACCACAAGTGTGAAGCTCTTTGTTTCATTCATCTTCACTCCCTGCCCACTGCATTATCCTTCAGAAGTGGCAAAGCTTGCTTTCCTGGGGGCCACCTCTGCATTTTCATGCCTACGTTGTTGCCAAAAAACTACAAGAAGGAAAGCTCATTTACTTCTCCCCGCCACTGCCAACTTTGAATGCAAAAACCTGCCCATTTTAATTATGTTTAAATTGTTTTTAGGTTTTTTAAATAATTTCAATATTTCTTGTAAACTGCTTAGAGGTTTTACTACAATCAAGCAGTATGTATTTTTTGTTAAATAAACAAACAACAATCAAACATACAGATACCTAGATAATAAACAGGATTCTCCCTTTCTTTCTTTCTTTCTTTTCTTTCTTTCTTTCTTTCTTTTCTGTGATTCAAACTCTTCTGGAAGTGCACAGAAGCTGAGCTGATGCCAAAGGGTAGTCTTTTGAAACAGTAGTACTCAAAGTGAGTAACAAATATTGTCAGTTTTGTGCCGCTTTCTGCCAGTTGAATCTGCCCATCTCTACTGTTGGCATCCCATTTAGAAAATTGGCTTTGCTTAGCTGTGCTGAGTGTGCCTCACCACAATGTGGAAACAGTTCTCTTTCAACACTTTTATTTAGCTGAGTCCTATTGGGTGCACACGTGCAGCGGGAAACCATCAGGGCTGAAGCCCAATCCCCTGGGCTGCCTGGAATGGTAAATAGAATTCAGAAACCAATTGCCAGTAAAACAGGACATTTATTTAGGCAGTGAAAGGTTGGTGCAACACAACCTCAACCAGCAAGGAGTTGAGAGGTGGCACACCAAGTATAAAAACAGCAGAAGCATTTGTACACTTACAAGCCAAGGGTAGTTTTGTCCACCTGTGGCAATACTTCCTTCTACTAGATTATACGGATTTAATCATGAGGCACAGCAACTTTCTTATCTCTTCCCCTGCAAACTGGATTTGGGTTTCCCTTGTTTCAAAACTAACACAAGGCCACTAACATATTTGTAAGTGACAATAGGCCAAAAGCTTTGTCAAAGAGGAACAGGGTGCAAGGGCTACAAAAACTCCCCTTGTTGAAAAGGATTTGCCACTACAACTGTCCCTTTGGCTTCCAGAATCTTTTAAAATTTTATACTGATCTTGGTTTTGGCTCTCTAAATGCAATACATTTGGTTGCACATTTTTATCTTTCATTTCTTACCAAAAGATGATGCACTTCACTGAAAGGTAATTGGGCAATTTTTCCCTCTTCCGCCTGGTGAATCTGAATTTTGTTATGTTTACTACAGAAAAGCTTTACATCAAACCTTTTGTTTGATTTGAACAATTTCCTTCATATTTGGTGCCAGTGAAGAACTGGAAACAGGTCCTGAATTACAAGAGGCAAGGTGCCCTTCCCCTTGAACAGCAATCCAATGCCTCTTTACTTATTGAGAAGAAATTCCCCCTGTGTTTACTGGCACTTACTCCCACTTTAGATGTAAATCAGCAAGAGAATGATCATTGTTACTGTTTTCAAATATTCAGGCATTCTAAAATATTAATTGAGGATGAAGGAACTGAGGGGATGCTCATCAAATCTGCAGATTACACCAAACTGGGAGGGGTAGCTAAGGCACAGAAGACAGAATTGGGATTCAAAATGACCTTAACAGGTTGCAGAACTGGGCCCAAACTAACAAAATGAATTTCAGTAAGGACAAATGTAAGGTTCTGCACTTAGAATGAACCAATATAAGGTAAGGGACACCTGGCTTACTAGCCCTACATGTGAAAAGGATCTAGGGGATCTAGGCCACAAGGTTAACATGAGTCAACAGTGTGATGCAGCAGCAAAAAAAGAGCAAATGTTATTCTAGGTTGCATCAACAGAAGTCTAGTGTCCAGATTAAGGGAAATAATAGTACCATGCTATTCTTCCTCGGTCAGAATTCTGGGCGCTACAATTTAAGAAGTATATTGACAAGCTGGAATGTGTGCAGAGGAGGGCAACTGGATGATCAAGGGTCTGGAAACTAAGCCTGATGAGGAGTGCTTGAAGGAGATGGGTATGTTTAGCATGGAAAACAGGAGAGCGAGAAACAATATGATAGCCATCTTTAAATATCTCAAGGGCTGTCACATGGAAGATGGCTTGTTTTCTCCTGCTCTGGAGGGTAGGAGTCGAACTTACAAGAAATAAGATTCTGACTAAACATCAGGAAGAATGTTTCTGACAGTAAGAGCTGTTTGACAGAGATATGGTCTCACTTGAGAAGTTGTGGTCTCTTCTTCCTTGGAGATTTTAAAGCAGAAATTGGATTATCATCTGCCATGGATTCTTTACCTGAGATTCTTGCACTGAGAGGTTGAACTAGATGACTCTTGGGGTCCCTTCCAGCTCTACAATTCTATGGTCTGTTTTCTAATTCACTTACATATTTATATGGATTAGAGTCAGCTGAAAAGAAGCTTTAAAAGACTCGTGGACAAAATAAGTTCAATTAAATTAATCATTAAAGGTTAATGTGCCTAACAGCAAAGCAGCCAGCTCTGAAACGGAGCAATTCCTGCCTCTGATGATGTGAATGCTCTGCTGAAATATGAAGTGCTAAAATGCACAGAAGCGCCTTTAGTTTTCTAGAAGTCCTGGGTCCTTTTACTTGCTCATTTACTAGCACACTAGCACACATTTACAGCTACAGTGGTACCTCGCAAGACGAAATTAATTCGTCTTGCAAGGTACCACTTGTGAGTTTTTTGTCTTGCGAAGCACGGTTTCCCATAGGAATGCATTGAAAATCAATCAATGCGTTCCTATGGAAACCGCCTTCAGACCAGGTCCTGGGACAGTCTGTCCCCCGACCTCTTCTGAAGGCTGGGGGGGGGACAAGGGCTTTTCTTCCCACCGCCAGCCTTCAGAAGGCTGTTCTGAAGGCTGGCGGTGGGAAGAAAAGCCCTTCTCCCCACCTCCCGCCCCGCAAGCTCCGGGGACAGGAGGGCTTTGCTGCCGACCGCCAGCATTTTAAAAGCTCCCGGGACAGCGAAGAAGTCTCCGCTGTCCCGGGAAGGCAGGCGGGGGGGAGCAAAGACTTTTGCCCCCCGCTGGCCTTCAGAAGAGGTCCAGGACCTCTTCTGAAGGCTGGCAGTGGGCGAAAGTCTTTGCTCCTGACCGCCAGCATTTTAAAAGAGGTCGCCGGAGATTTCCCTATGGGCTTTCTTCTTGTGAAGCAAGCCCATAGGGAAATTCGTCTGCCGAAGCACCTCGAAAAACGGAAAACTCTTTCTTCTTGCGAGTTTTCCGTCTTGCGAGGCATTCGTCTTGCGAGGTACCACTGTACTATGCTTGTTTGCCATAGAAAGGCTTGTTAGAACTGTATTGACTTGCTTGTTGACATTTTAAGTTCTCCCACCATTTTTTGTTTTAATTCTGCATTTAAAACAACTCTCATGTAGGCTCTAGGGCAGCCTGAAAAGTATTAGGGGGTGAAGTCAAACCATTGCGTTAGCAGCATCCAAGTGACCTCCCCAGGACTCAAGACTTGGGCAGTGTGTCTGGAGGTCCCGGGTTGCCCACATGACAAGACCTCTCTCTCGCCCTCCTTGATATGATCCAAAGGAAAGCAGAGCAATACATTGGCACCAGCTTGGCTGCAGGAGTTGCCAGATGGAGGCTTGCAAGGCGCTAATCAACCGTCTTAGGGACTCCGCTCGAGATTTGTGTAGGGTTTACTTCTTAGCCTTTTTCCTGCAAGGCAGCAGAGGTTTAGGGTCAGAGTTTTCCTTCGCCTAGATGGACTACCTGCCCCTTACTTCCCTCCACGGCACGTGCAGAAACTTGACCATTGGGCCCACTCTTGATCTCGTGGGCTCCATCTGCCAGAGCCTCTCATCGAGGGTTGGAGACCCATTGGTTCCCCTCACCTGGCTGAGCCAGCCAGTCAAAGCTGTTGCTTTCTGTGTGGCAGTTGTCGCAGGCTAACAGCTTCTAGGAGCCACAGATGGGTGCTGAGTGCAGGGTGGAAGCCAAAGGGGGGCAAAGTACCCCAGAAGGAGCACAACGTGTCCCCCAACAGAGGTACTAACCCTCCCCTACATACTCCCCTTATTACTTCAGTAATAAAATACTGAAGTAGGAAATGCTGTTTTACTATCTAACTTTCCCACTCTCTTCAGTCTGCTGTCCCTCATGTTTGTTCCAATCCCAGCATCATAATTGTCAGTTTTGTGATTCTTAAGTTCTTTATGCTAACCATTTTTTCTTTTTAAAAATTACCTATTATAAAGCAACAGGAGAAAACCTTATCAGCAAGGAAAAAAGATAAGCTTTTTGTTTGTATAAAAGGTAAAGGTAAAGGTACCCCTGCCCATATGGGCCAGTCTTGACAGACTCTAGGGTTGTGCGCTCATCTCACTCTATAGGCCGGGAGCCAGCGCTGTCCGGAGACACTTCCGGGTCACGTGGCCAGCGTGACAAGCTGCATCTGGTGAGCCAGCGCAGCACACGGAACGCCGTTTACCTTCCCGCTGGTAAGCGGTCCCTATTTATCTACTTGCACCCGGGGGTGCTTTCGAACTGCTAGGTTGGCAGGCGCTGGGACTGAACGACGGGAGCGCACCCCACCGCGGGAATTCGAACCGCCGACCATGCGATCAGCAAGTCCTAGGCACTGAGGTTTTACCCACAGCGCCACCCGCATCCCTTTTTGTTTGTATAGTTGCTTTTAAAGAACTGAGAAGTGGAAGGGATTCGTGAGTTGCATTTATGTCTGTAGTTTCTGTTGAAGTAATGTTGCTACAGCATTTGAAGATTCAATCAACGTTATGAATGGCAGCTTCAAATATACAAAAGTTAAAGAATGAATTTTCATGTTGCTTAATTACCTGATTCTTATTGTAAGTTTGAAATGTCTGTGTGTGCTTTACTTTTGTTAGACACTGTCCCATCAGTTGATCCAGTGAAACTGGATTGGGCAGCTGGCGAATAATCTATTATAGTCATTTTTGTTCTTTTTAACTGTAGGCAATGTTGGGACGTAGCAATGGGGAATCTTCAAGAAAGAAGGAGGAAGAGGAAGTTCAGAGCAGACACAGATTGATCCCCTTTGGCCGCAAGATCTATGAGTTCTACAATGCACCAATTGTTAAATTTTGGTTCTACACTGTAAGGAGCGACTATCATTTTGTCATCTGTCCCTAATGACACAAATTTGTAAAGGCCCCCCTCATCAGTATGTCTACATTGTCTAAGTGAAGCATTATTGTAATATCTAACTATGTGCAAGTAGATAATGCTATAAATATTGTAGAGCGTTTGCAGGAAGACACAAACTTTAGCCCTTCTGTGTGTCACTTGATAATTAAGAGAAATTAATGGGATATTTAAAAGAAGCTATGTATCAACATGAACATCTGGAGGACTAATGTGAAAACATTTCTTGAGACTTGTGGTCAATAGTCAACAGTTTAATGTGCAATGCTTCTTCTGTTTCATGTGCCTGAAACATTACAGTACTTTCCTTATCCTCATCTCCTTATTTCGTTTCCCTATTTTGTAAATGTTGTCCTATTGGCATGGGATTTCCTCCCCTCCCCTTTTTTCTTATTTGTGATTAATTGAAAAATGGCTGTAAATAATGTCAGAGGAAAAATTAATTATATATAATTATGGCCCATATAGATACATTCATTGGTTTGGAGATTAGTGCCTATTGGTATGAAAAGGCGGGGCCTGCAACAAAACATTGCTGTGTGGGGTGTTTCTATTCACATTTCCAAGCACCACATTCCCATCCCAACACATTTGTCTGGTTCTCCACCCTCCCCAGTCAGCCGTCTAAGTAAGTCCTCATCCTCATTCGGCTGTTGGGGGGGGGTCCCCTCTGAGGGCTTTTTCCTTAAAACAAAAAGTATTCTTCTGAAAAATTTGCCGCTTCTGAAACCAGCTGGTACCTCCTTCTTGTGCATGCTTGGTACTTGTTGAGGCTGAAAAAGGACCAGCAGTCAGATAACTGAGATTGCTATTGATCTATATAGACTACTTCCAATATTTGAAGTCTACAGTAGATACACTCTGAGGGAGCACTGCTATGCCATGTGCTGATTTAGCCATTCAGCTGGGCAGCTGTGAACATGCATCTCCCTGCAGACAAGGAACTGAAGGAGATGTGGAAGCCCTGGCATGAATGAGGAGGCATTTTGTGGCATGCTTTGGCACTCCTGCGTCCACGAAGAACGGCTGAACCAGAGCATTGGCCTTCTAGCTGGAAATTGCACATGGCTCTTTTGTCTAGGAATAGAAAACTAATATGGTTGAATTAAGAAACCTAGGTAAGCTGAACATTTATACAGCAACCAGGAAAACTGAGTTTATTTCTTTGCAGATGGCATACGTTGGGTACCTGATGCTGTTCAATTATATTGTGTTGGTGAAGATGGATCGTTGGCCTTCCACACAGGAGTGGATTGTTATCTCGTATATTTTCACAATGGGAATAGAGAAGATGAGAGAGGTAATATATTTAATTGGGGAATTGGCATGGGGGGGGCACTGTGCTCCCAATCTCATCTCATCTCATCTCCCATGGCTGTTTTCTAAAACAAAAAAACACCTTTTGAGATCTCCTGCATTGTATGTCTCGTTGCACTGTAAGATCACAAACTATATTGTTCTGACTAGTACAATTAATACTGACTTAATGCTTTCTATTGTACACGATGATTTATAGAGTAACATCCGCACACTCAGACACATGATTCCTAATCCACACTTGAGCTCTTCAGCTTGAAATATGATGCTCAGAATATACAATGATCACCTTTAAATTGTTTGTTGTATAGTAACAGTGCAGAAAATAATATTCATCACACCCACAAGAGGGCTCTTCAGCATTGAATAAGGCCTCCAAAACTTCAAGAGAGTTGACTTGTGATACTGATGTTCAATTTTCAAATAATCCATTGGATTTTTGCCTATTTCTTATTTAATTTTATTCCAACTGTAAATATTTCTGGGGGGGGGAGCTTGTGGATATATAAATATGACTGTCTAGGGAAGGGTGTGAAATATGAGTCATTCTCTGTGAATGTTCTCAAGTCACTGATATTTATATTTCAACAAGAGTTTTTTTTCAAAAATTATTTACAAATGGAATAAAATTAAATAAAAAGGAATAGAATAATATATATAAAAATAATAAAGAAGGCAATAATATACATAATAAATAGGGACTTCCGGGGTGGCGCCATCGGTAATGGCGGACTCCCTCTGATCCGAAGGGACCGGCTCTATGGAAATCGGGTCGTTCCGCTACGGCGAAGCGGGGGCCCTTTAAAAAATCACAGGCGGGTGAAGCCTGTGACCGTGGGACTCGGCGGGCACCTTTTGCACACACCCCCAATTTGTAAAGGAGCCCAATTACGGGCTCCGGAGTGAAGCGGGGAAAGCGGTGCGGTGCTGAGAGTCAACTGCTTCTTCCGTGGAGCGAAGCCGCACAGCCGTTACCGGAGAGCGCTACCTTTTTCCTGTGACAATTTGGCTACAAAACAACTACCCGTGAGTAGGTTAAATTTGGAAATAAAGGAGAACAAGGACTTAATTTGGTACTGAAGCGGGGAGGCATAAACAGGAAGTCTGCCTTCCGCTTTTTGTAAATAGAGCAAAGCAATGAACTTGTAAGCTAAAACCTTGAAAGACGTTTGAAAAGGACTATAATCCTAACGTCAAACAAGCGATCTCCCCCCCTGGTTGCAGGAGAGGAGGGGGGAAAGGTTTGAACTGTATTTCCCTGCAAAAAAGAGAGGAAAGGAAGCTAAAATCCACCGCTTAAAACCTGGGAACGGGCTGCCAATGGACAATAGGAATGCCGTACTGTGAAAAGCGCTGTTGGTAAATAGAGTACTTTTTGACAGCTAACTCTGCAAGAGAGATACAGTGTTTCTGGCTGGCTTCTCCTGGCTTTAAAGTAACTGGAAATTAAATGAAATTGAAACTGTCATCTATTTTGAATTGGGGGATTAAAAAAGGTTATTTTTTTCTAGGCAACAAGTTCTGACTGCTACTGTGTCCCCCAGAGGAAGTTTGAAATTGTTACAATAACAACTGGGCCAGGGGAATTTTCCACTTTAAAACAAACTCTGGCCGTGGGATTGACCTTGGGCTTCAACTAGAGTGTTATGGCAGATGGAAAAGAAAAGATAGAGTTGCTTCAAGAAAAAACAACGAGGTCTGGTAGATCTTTCCGCACAGACACTGGGTTGCAGTGAAGAGCATCAACATCTGGCCCCTCTGTACCATCAGGGGCTGCACCTGTACAACCTAAACCAAAAGGAATGGCATCTGAAGATGTTTTAGCTTTGGCACTAGGTAAAATTAATGAATCCTTGGAAAAACTAAGTAAACAAGTAGCTGAAACAAATAAACAAGTAGCTGAAGCATCAATTAAAATTAATCAAAACACTACAAGTATTAATAATTTGGGACAGAAGGTGAACACTAATACAGAAACTATCGAGAAACTGCTACAGGAATCTACTTTGACCCGAAAGACAGCTGAAGAAGCAAAGGAAATAGCAGCTGCTGCTGAAGAGAAGATACCACCGATATATAGGCAACTTGAGGACCACAGGTCGATGCTGTCTATGATTGAATTGAAGGAGAAACAAACGAATTTGAGGATCAGGGCCGTACCTGAACTTGAGAAAGACAATTTGATTGACTTTCTTATGCAGGAATTTGCAGACTTTTGGAAACCAGATTTGGAGAAGGAAGAATTTAAGATAGTGAGTGCATTTAGGCTTGGAAGAGGGGGGAAGAAGAATAAGGTGAGAGACTGTTTGATTACCCTCCGAACAAAAGAGGAGAGAGACAAAATCTTGAGTCTGCATTTCCAGAAGACCTTGGAAATACATCAGTCAAGAGTGGAGATATTTAAAGACATTCCGAAACATCTTTTGGATCTTAGGTCCAACTACGGAGATTTGGTCGCCCTGTTGAGAAGTAACAGAATTATCTTTAGGTGGGAATTTCCCCAAGGCCTATCTTTTAGCTTCAAAGGAAGAAAGATAAAAATAAGATCAGTGGACGACAAAGAAAGATTTTTGAAAGATCACGGAGAAGATTTGCAGAAAGAATCTGGAGAAGAGCTAAGAACACTGGGAAGAGGAATACTAGACATAGCAAAATTACCTTTTGGACTGCATAGCTCAGAGAAAGTGATACCATCGACAGAACAAGAACAAACACTTGGTGCAGTTGGAGGAAAAGCAAAGTAACTACATCATGGCTCTGCAACTATTAAGCTGGAATACTAATGGTCTTAACTCCCCCCAGAAAAGGAAAAGAATTTTTCATTTATTAAAAAAGGAACAATTGGACTTGATTTGTCTACAGGAAACACATGTGATAAGGCTACATAGAAAAGTATTGATTAATAAAAGACTGGGTCAGGAGTTTATCTCATCGGATAAAGTTAAAAAAAGAGGAGTAGTGATTTATGCAAAGGAGAGTTTATCACCGAAATTTATCTTTAAAGATGACCAAGGAAGATTTGTGGCAATTGAAATTCAAATACAAGGAGAGAAATTTCTGATAGTAGGAGTTTATGCACCAAATGAGGGGAAATCTGAATTCTTTAAAAAGTTGCATGAGACCTTGATGGACTATTTGGAGTATAATCTGATTTTGATGGGGGATATGAACGGAGTGGTATCTACAAATATGGACAAGGCACAAAGACAGGTAGTCACTAAGGATGGTAGACTACCGAAAACATTCTTTGAGATGACAGACAACTTGGACTTAGTTGATATCTGGAGAACAAAGAATCCCTTGGGTAGAGAGGGAACTTTCTTTTCTGAAGCCAAAATGACCTGGACAAGAATTGACCAAATATGAGTAACTAGAGGAATGGCACCAAAGACAATAAAAGTGGAAATTTGTCCAAAAACCTGCTCCGACCATAATGCTGTGAAGATGGAGATGAAACTAACACCAACTGGCTCTTTCAGATGGAGGATGAATGACACCTTATTTAGAGACGAAGAAGTGACTAAGAAGGCCCCAAAAACCCTGAGAGATTATTTCGAGATAAACATGAATACTAATGTTGAAAAAAGAGTAATCTGGGACGCAAGCAAAGCGGTTATGAGAGGGTTCTTGATACAACAGAATGCAATAAAGAAGAGAATCCAAAATGAGAAGAAAGATAAAATTTTGGAGAAAATAAAGGAAAGTGAGAAGAAATTGCAGAACCCAGCCGAGATTAGAAACTGTTTCCAGAGGTACTTTAAACAATTATATACACAAGGGCCACAGAAAGAAATTGATATAGATCGATTTTTGAAGATAAATGGATTACAAAAAATCTCCCAAGAAAACAAATTAATGTTGAATTATAAAATAACTGAACAGGAGGTAGAAGGTGCCATTCAGAATACGCAATTAGGCAAATCTCCAGGACCAGATGGACTGACTTCTAGATATTACAGATCTTTAAAAGAATGGTTAGTACAACCTTTAAAGGAAGTCTGTAATGAAATATTGGAAGGGAAAAGGGCACCAGAGTCATGGAAGGAAGCGTATATCATACTTCTACCGAAAACAGAGACTGAAAAGACTCAGCTCAAGAACTACCGCCCCATATCACTGCTTAATGTGGATTACAAAATTTTTGCAGATATTTTGGCCAAAAGACTAAAAAAAGTGCTGGTGGAGGAGATTCATAAAGACCAAGCAGGCTTTCTCCCGGGTAGACACTTGTCTGATAATTTGAGAAATATAATTAATATTTTAGAAAAACTACAAGTGAATATTAATACCAAGGCAGTTTTGATATTTGTGGACGCAGAGAAAGCTTTTGACAATATTTCTTGGAGTTTTATGAAGAAGAACTTACAGGGGATGGGGGTAGGTCAAGGTTTTGGAAATGGTATAAGTGCAATTTACTCTGAACAAAAGGCCAAATTAATTGTTAACAATGTGGTGACAGAGGAATTTAAGATAGAAAAAGGGACACGACAAGGTTGCCCAATCTCCCCATTGCTTTTTATATCGGTCCTGGAGGTTCTGTTGAATATGATTAGAAGGGACCAGTTGGTTAAAGGTATACAAGTCGGAGCTAAACAGCACAAACTGAGAGCATTTGCAGATGACTTAGTATTGACATTACAGGAGCCAGAATCTAGTACTAAAAGAGTTTTGGAACTGATTCAAGAATTTGGTCAGGTTGCAGGATTTAAACTGAATAAGTTAAAAACAAAGGTTTTAGAGAAAAATTTAACAGCGATTGAGAGAGAGAGGTTTCAGAATGAGATAGGTTTAACAGTGGTTAAGAAAGTGAAATACCTGGGGATTAACATGACAGCTAAAAATGGGAACTTATTTAAAGACAATTATGAAAAATGCTGGATGGAAGTGAAAAAAGATTTAGAAATTTGGTCAAATTTGAAGCTTTCACTGCTAGGCCGCATTGCTGCGATAAAAATGAATGTATTGCCTAGAATGTTATTTCTGTTCCAAACATTGCAAATTTTGGACAAAATGGACTGTTTCAAGAAGTGGCAGAGAGACATTTCTAGATTTGTCTGGCAGGGCAAGAAGCCTAGAATAAAATTTAAAATACTAACGGATGCAAAGGAAAGAGGTGGATCTGCCTTGCCAGACCTTAAACTTTATTATGAATCAGCAGCTTTCTGCTGGTTGAAAGAATGGCTGCTTCTTGAAAACACAGACATCTTGGATTTAGAAGGTTTTAATAATGTATTTGGATGGCATGCATATTTATGGTATGATAAGGTCAAAGCACATAAAGCATTTAAAAACCATATTGTCAGGAAAGCATTGTTTAATGTCTGGATAAGATATAAGGACCTACTTGAAAATAAAACCCCAAGGTGGTTGTCAACGATGGAAGCGAAGGCTCAGAAAAAGCTCAATATGGAGACCAAATGGCCGAAATATTGGGAAATTTTGGAACAAAAGGGAGATAAATTGAAATTGCAGAGTTTTGAAAAACTAAAAAACAAAGTGCGAGATTGGCTTCATTATTATCAAATAATGGAGGCATACAATTTGGACAAGAAAATTGGATTCCAGGTGGAAAAATCAAAATTAGAAACAGAACTGCTAGATCCCAAAACTAAGACTTTGTCAAGGATGTATAACTTGCTGTTGAAATGGAATACTCAGGATGAAACAGTGAAATCAGCTATGATTAAATGGGCACAAGATGTTGGACATAACATTATGATGGCTGACTGGGAACAGTTATGGACCACAGGTATGAAGTTTACGGCATGTAATGCCTTAAGAGAGAATATTATGAAAATGATATACAGGTGGTACATGACACTAGTCAAGCTTGCAAAAATCTATCATTTGCCCGATAATAAATGTTGGAAATGTAAAGAAACTGAAGGTATATTCTTTCACCTTTGGTGGACGTGCCCAAGGATTAAGGCTTTCTGGGAGATGATATATAATGAAATGAAAAAGGTATTTAAATATACCTTCCTGAAGAAACCAGAGGCCTTTCTCCTGGGCATGGTCGGCCAATTGGTGCCAAAGAAGGATAGAACTTTCTTTATGTATGCCACAACAGCAGCAAGAATACTTATTGCAAAGTATTGGAAGACACAAGATCTACCCACCCTGGAAAAATAGCAGATGAAGGTGATGGACTATATGGAACTGGCAGAAATGACCGGCAGAATCCGAGACCAGGGAGAAGAGTCGGTGGAAGAAGATTGGAAGAAATTTAAAGACTATCTACAGAAATACTGCAAAATTAATGAATGTTAGAATGATGTTGGATTGAAGTTAAGTGGTTTTTAGCAGTAATGTCATAAAGGAATGTGTAAAAATGGATTGTTAACAGGTGATAATCTAAAGTTATAATATATTAAGATTAAAGATTAGGATAAAAACAAAGAGATCTTTTATCAAGTTGCGTTTTCTACAGATCAGTTTCATTTCTTGTGAGACATTAGTGTTGCATGCAGTATTAGGTTAGGAAGAAAAGGGGCGAGGAAGAGGGGGAGGGGAATGGTGAGTGGGGTGGGGTCAGGTGTTAATACTGGACACAGAACTGACCTGCACCTCCATGGACAGCTGTGAGTCCAAAATGACTCCCAGGCTGCGCACTTGGTCCTTCAGGGGCACAGTTGCCCCATTCAAGACCAGGGAGTCTTCCACACCCGCCTGCCTCCTGTCCCCCCAAAACAGTACTTCTGTCTTGTCAGGATTCAACCTCAATCCATTAGCCGCCATCCATCCTCTAATGTTGGAAGCCATACAGAGTGGCTGGAGCAACCCAGCCAGATGGGCAGGGTACAATTGTTGTTTGTGGCGTGAGCTCCGACACATCTAACTCTAGAGAAATAGGACTACTGCTGCTGCTGCTGCTGCTGCTGCTGCTACTACTGCTAATAATAATAATAATAATAATAATAATAATAATAATAATAATAATAATATAGTCTGTAAGCCTATGATCCCAGGTAATGCAACTCCCTCATAGGTTAACATCACAGAGTCCAGAGCACAGCTGCTCACTTGTGTTTCCTGGCCCTTGTTGCTGAATCATGCAATAAGAGGGTTTATCTTATTGTTTGGGTTCTTTAAGAGATGTGAATCCTTGTTCCATGTATAGGGCTCAACATGAAGTAACATGTCTAACATTTCCATCCCTCTTTCTCTAGATATTAATGTCAGAACCTGGGAAGCTGCTGCAAAAAGTGAAAGTGTGGCTCCAAGAGTACTGGAACGTTACTGACCTCATTGCTATTCTCCTATTTTCTGTGGGAATGGTGCTTCGCCTCCAAGATCAGCCGTTTAGGAGCGATGGCCGTGTCATATACTGTGTCAACATCATTTACTGGTATATCCGACTGCTGGACATCTTCGGGGTGAACAAGTATTTGGGGCCATATGTAATGATGATTGGGAAAATGGTAAGAAAGTCTTTCCCATTCTTTCTTTTTGTAATGAATTAACTGAATTAAGGATTAACTGAAAATAAGAGAAGATGATGCTACTTTTAGGCAACCTCCAGGTTTAACACTCAGTCTGCCTCCAGATAATTCAAAACCCTTGCCATTATCCTCCAGGTGCATTGTACCTGGGGCCCTGTCTCTTCCGTTCAGTGTAGGAGGGTTTGAGGCTGGGCTTCCAGCATAGATACTCCAAGTCAAAGGCAATGCATTTTTATTGGTCTATAAAAAAAACTATAGGCTAAAATTATTGTTTTCTATATTGTGTCTCACCTTTCCTTAGAGGGGAAAAATCCAGATTTCTGTATATGTATGTTTGAATTACATTCAAAACTCTCTTTTTTTTTAATGGGATTTGGACTTCCACTGTCTACTATTTGTTTGTTTAAAGATTTAGAATCATAGAATCATAGAATCATAGAGTTGGAAGAGACCACTAAGGGGTTGCCGTGAGCGGTGAGTTACTCACGCCTGCTGAAAGGAAAGTGGGGAAGGGGCAGTGGTGGGGAAGCTTTTTCAGCCAAAGGGCCACCTTCTCTTCCAGAGCAACCTTCCAGGGCAGAAGGGCCAGAAGCAAAAGTGGGCAGGGAAGGAACATGAATGTCAGCTTTGCACAGGAAGCCAGTTTCTGCGCACTCACACACTCACACGTCTCTGTCCTCCTTCCCGGCAAGCAAGAAGCATGGTCAGAGTTCAGGTTCAGACCGAAACATTCATAGAATCATAGAGTTGGAAGAGACCACAAGGGCCATCGAGTCCAACCCCCTGCCAAGCAGGAAACACCATCAGAGCACTCCTGACATATGGTTGTCAAGCCTCTGCTTAAAGACCTCCAAAGAAGGAGACTCCACCACACTCCTTGGCAGCAAATTCCACTGTCGAACAGCTCTTACTGTCAGGAAGTTCTTCCTAATGTTTAGGTGGAATCTTCTTTCTTGTAGTTTGGATCCATTGCTCCGTGTCCGCTTCTCTGGAGCAGCAGAAAACAACCTTTCTCCCTCCTCTATGTGACATCCTTTTATATATTTGAACATGGCTATCATATCACCCCTTAACCTCCTCTTCTCCAGGCTAAACATGCCCAGCTCCCTTAGCCGTTCCTCATAAGGCATCATTTCCAGGCCTTTGACCATTTAGGTTGCCCTCCTCTGGACACGTTCCAGTTTGTCAGTGTCCTTCTTGAACTGTGGTGCCCAGAACTGGACACAGTACTCCAGGTGAGGTCTGACCAGAGCAGAATACAGTGGCACTATTACTTCCCTTGATCTAGATGCTATACTCCTATTGATGCAGCCCAGAATTGCATTGGCTTTTTTAGCTGCCGCGTCACACTGTTGGCTCATGTCAAGTTTGTGGTCAACCAAGACTCCTAGATCCTTTTCACATGTACTGCTCTCAAGCCAGGTGTCCCCCATCTTGTATTTGTGCCTCTCATTTTTTTGGCCCAAGTGCAATACTTTACATTTCTCCCTGTTAAAGTTCATCTTGTTTGTTTTGGCCCAGTTCTCTAATCTGTCAAGGTCGTTTTGAAGTGTGATCCTGTCCTCTGGGGTGTTAGCCACCCCTCCCAGTTTGGTGTCATCTGCAAATTTGATGAGGATGCCCTTGAGTCCATCATCCAAGTCGTTGATAAAGATGTTGAATAAGACCGGGCCCAAGACAGAACCCTGTGGCACCCCACTAGTCACTCTTCTCCAGGATGAAGAGGAACCATTGATGAGCACCCTTTGGGTTCGGTCAGTCAGCCAGTTACAAATCCACTGAGCATAGTCAAGACCGCATTTTACCAGCTTCTTTACAAGAATATCATGGGGCACCTTGTCAAATGCCTTGCTGAAATCAAGGTAGACTACATCCACTGCGTTCCCTTCATCTACCAGGCTTGTAATTCTGTCAAAAAACGAGATCAGGTTAGTCTGACATGACTTATTTTTCAGAAATCCATGCTGACTATTGGTGATCACAGCATTCCTTTCTAGGTGCTCACAGACTGTTTGCTTAATGATCTGCTCCAGAATCTTCCCTGGTATTGATGTCAGACTGACTGGGCGATAATTATTTGGGCCCTCTCTTTTCCCCTTTTTGAAAATAGGGACAACATTTCCCCTCCTCCAGTCTGCCGGGACTTCGTTCTTTTAATACTCTTGGATGCAGTTCATCTGGCCCTGGAGACTTGAATACATCTAAACTAGCCAAGTATTCTTGTACTATCTCCTTAGTTATTCTGGGCTGTGTTTCCTCTGCTGAATCATTTGCTCCAAATTCTTCAGGTCGGGCATTGTTTTCTTTATCGGAGAAGACTGAGGCAAAGAAGGCATTGAGGAGTTCAGCCCTTTCTGTGTCCCCTGTTTGCATTTCACCATATTCTCCTCTGAGTGACCCCACTGTTTCTTTGTTCTTCCTTTTGCTACGGACATACCCATAAAAGCCTTTTTTGTTGCTTTTAACCTCTCTAGCTTTTCTGACTTTGTGTCTACACATATGCCCTTCATCACATGTGAATCCAGCCTACTTCTCCCAGCCCCAACAGCTGAATTAAGGAATTCCTTGAGTTGAACTAGCCAGGGCAACGGCAGCTGGCTGACTGTCAGAGCTTTGTCTCTGCAGGGCTCTCTGTCAGCCCCAGCACCTTGAAAAAGGTTTTGAAGGTGTCACTGATCAACATTTCCTGTGAACCCCTCTTTTGGCCCAGACGTGAATTTATGTGACCTACTCCATATACGGTGTCAGGTGTGGCAGAGGTAGGAGTTGCTTGGCTAAAATGGTCTGGTAGACAAAGGGGGAGGCCAAGCAGGCCTAATGACCTGCCAGACTGAGGGTTGGTCCACACCTGCATGCCCATCACTTAATTCCACCCCTTTGAATACCCAAGAGGTGATGACTCACAGCTGAATGGGTGATCAAACTCCACTGAAACCTTTGTGAGTGAGGTGGTATGGCCCTGATCATGATAGAAACACAGCAATAAAAAATAGCTGCCTCTCTTTTTTTTCCTTAAACCTGAAATATGCCAAGCCATTATATATATATGTGTGTGTATATATAATATATATATATATATAGATCCTGCTCTGTTCCAGTAACAAGAAGCCGAAAGCACCAGCCTGAAGATGACGAGTGAGACCTCGTCGAAACGTCGCCTAGACACCCCAACTTTTACACGGGAAGACACCCGAGGACACCAAAACCTGCATATATATATATATATATATATATATATTCCCCATATATAACATCGGCAAAAAGAGGTAAACATGAGTACAGACTTGTATCCCTAAGAAAAACCTTTGTTACAGCCTTTAAGCTTGACATTGAAGCATTTGAACTTCTGTAGATTCTTGAAAAGTCCAGTTTGTGTCTTTCCACTGCTAGGAGGTTTTTTGATCCAGAACAAGCTTCCATAAGTGGAAGAAGGAGAAAATGATGTTTGCTGATTCCCTCTCCTCTCTGCAGTCCCCTCTGCCATTCCCAAATCTACTCCAGAAAGTTAGGAGACACTTTAGAAAAGCGGCCAGCAACCTTTTTAAACCCAAGGGCACATTTACATTTTTGATCACATGCCGTGGACCCTTCTATTTGCTCATTTCTCTCCCTTCTGCCCCTGGATCACACACAAACACACACACAAGGCAGAAAGAGAGAAAACCCCACAGTAGCATTCATCTGAATCTTGAAAGACACATAGAGCTGAAAGAAGTGGGGAAGAAGGTCAAGTCTTCCAGCATTATGTCCTTGTCAAGGGAGAAAAAATGGCAACGACTGTCCCCACCTTTTGCTCAAAGGAGTAGTGAAATGAGGAAGAGATTCAGACAACTCGTTTTATAATAGTTGAGCCCCATCAAGTATCTCTGAAATGTGCATTATATGCAGTTTCTCACTTTTCTTACAGCCTTTTGGTTTTCTGTGGAAACATTTCACTTTCTGTGGCATCTTATATTAGGTTGTATCCAAGTGCAGCTTGTTAGAATTCGGGTGTTTGAATAATGTTACAAAAGTCAGGTGCCTCCCCCTCTGCCAAGCGGTGGCAGGAGCCCATGACACTCACTCAGGGTCTGGGGTCCTTTGGAGAATTGAGATATGTTGGAGACTGTCGTAGCTTTAAGAAATATAGTTAATTCACCAATTTACACCTTCACTCTATATGCAAGGAGTCCAAATATTACAGCATGGTCATCTCAAGAGGGGCTTGTAATTCAACAGTGCAGCCCTGGAGTCCAAGACATCTCTCCCAGTCAGCCTGCCCAAGATGGATCCCAGTCTTCCTGCTTCCTGCTTCTTCTTCCCAGCAACCCTTGCTCAAGACTCACTTTTCCTGTCACCCTATCACTTTTCCAGTTGCCCTGGCAACCTTCCAAACACCTGTCTCTGTTCAGGGGGCCGCTAGGGGCGCCTTGGAAGATGGCGGATATTAACATCTATCCAGCCCACACGAGGTAATTAGAGGCTGATTATGGGGAGTATATCAGTCTCCCTTCATCTCTCCAGGGGGGAGAGATGCCGTTTTCACCCACTGTTGCCATAAATCACCCCCGAGTTTGGAAGAAGGAGGGGGTGAGGCACTGGGTGCACAACCCTCGGCGGGCCTCGGAACTCCTCCGAAGCTGCTTCCAGGAGCGAAACTAGTTGCGTTACTTAAAAGGGAAAAAAAATGGGAAAGATAACGCACATGCTTCAAGAGAGGCAGGAGGTCTTGATCTGCTAACAATTTTACCACTGAAATGAAGAAGACTGAGACGGAAGATTACATCAAAGTACTACAGACATGGTATGTGGAATGGAATGCAACAGAACTGAAAGGGGGGGGAAACGACTTTTTATTTTTTTGCTCTATGTGATTAACTAATAACCCTCCCTCTTAGAAGATCCGTCACAGCAACTAATTGCAAATGGGACTAAAAATGAATTGTGTGGGGGACTTCTGGTCGGCGCCAGCGTTTAATGGCGGTCCTTGCCTCGAGCTC